TAGCCCATATTTAGTGAAGTATCAGCATTTAAAGATTGGCAACATTTTGTGATGTCTTTAGATGATCGGCACTATATCTTGTTTTTCAAATTTGCGTAACGATTTTCAAGCCAATAAAATTTAATTGTTGCGTGATATCTGAAAGGGAGATCGTCACAAAATTTAGCCAATGAAATCAAATGTCCACTATGCTCAGGTGTCCCTATACTTTTGATCAGGAAGTGTATTTTCTTTTAATTTTATTTCTTTATATTTATTCAGATTAGGCCAATGCCTAAGAAGTGGAAACCATAGCTAGGTACTGTCAGTCAAGAAACTGAGCCATAAATATAATTGATAAGCCTAGAAAGTATCAAGGCAGATACTTAGGATATTATAAATATAATTGAGACGTGTTGGCTCAGGCAGATAACAAAGGACTGCTGAGAAAATGTTACCAGACAGGAAGTAAGAACACTTGCCATACAACAGAGTAAGGTTGCTTGCCGAAACTCCTCCAGAAATCAATCAGCAGGGTTTTGGCAGGTCACATATTAATTGTTTATTAGAGTTTCCACAGAGTTTCACATTTTGAGGTTTCACCATTTCAGCATAATTTCAACAGGATTTTTGATAAGATTTAATATAGCTTTGCCATGGTTTGAGCAATTACTAAGGAGGTTTCACCCACAACCTCACAACAGAGTAATAGCTTGAGCACTAATTACTGCCATAATACCAAGAGAGTATTATACAACTAAATAACATATTTGGATTAAGGTTGCTGAAACTCCTCCAGAAATCAATCAGCAGGGTTTTGGCAGGTTACACATTAATTGTTTATTAGAGTTTTGGCAGAGTTTTGCATTTTGAGGTTTTGCCATTACAGCATAGTTTCAACAGGATTTTTGATAAGATTTAATATAGTTTTGCTGTGGTTTCAGTAGTTACTAAGGAGGTTTCACCCACAACCTTAATTTGGATACTGTCAGAATAAAACATAATTCCAATCAATCTAGGGATTTGTGTGAGATGCAGATTGATCTCACAATAGCAACAATCATTTATTAAGAAGGGCAATTATGGTATCTTATAATTATATAAATGGGAAAATAAAATAAGCAATATAAATAATAATAGCTATAGTCCTGTATAATGAAGTTGTAATAGCTAACCAAATCAAATAGACTTATTATCAACTTCTCTGTATGTTTTGAGATATGGTTCTTATATTCTGCTTCCAAAGTCTTCATCTTTGAGATCATTAGCTACAATAGTAAATATTTGGTCCTTGCAGATGGAGAATAGTTTTATAATCAAACAAATCAAATTATCCCACCGGAAACACTTCTTCCACATTATCATCAACAAAAATATTAAAACCAGAATGAAGATGCTTAACTCATTCATATCTGGTAAGTTGCAGAGTTTTTTCTTGTTGATGGGTTCTTAATAAGGTTTCTGGTCCAAACTGTTGTCTCAAAGCCCAAACTAGTTTGGGCAATTTGGGCTTCTCATCATTTTTTATAAACATGAACATTAAAAAACTATACCAGTTAACTTATTTTAACTTAAACAACTTTAAAGTAATTTCACCCAGTTTTGGCTAATAACAAAAAATAGTTTGGGCTTATAAAAAAGTAATTTTTGCCCAAAGTGTTTCAGCAATTTTGGCTACTAATAAAGAGTTTCAGCCAAAAACCTTAGTTCTGAATTCCTTCCTTTCCATAATCACCATCTGCATCGATGGATCACTGCTCATTATTTCAAATTGTCTGCTTTTTTGGAATAATCAAGTGTTGTTGGCCATTGAGCTTTGAAAAAAATTAACTATCCACATACAGGAGATTCAACATCCAAAATATCAGAAAAACAATAATAAATTATTCCTATCATAACAATTTTATTTGTATGATCACTAAAGATGGCTCCTCAATTAATTGCAGCATATAAAAATTGAATTGTGATTCAGTTGCGGCTAGAGATGTGATCTGTGGATGGTCAATCTGGATATCCGCAAAACAATCCGGATGGATAGATGGCTTTTTTAAAGTGCTAACTGATTGTGGATTGAAATTTTAGAAATTATAGGATATTTGGATGATCTGTGTAAATAAAATATCATATGAATAAAAAAAATTTTTTATGTACTAGTACAAATAATAATGTAACATCAAAAAAAAAAATTTAAAATACATAATACTTTTTATCATCTTTATCTAATTCATTTTTTGATGCCATTGCTTCTTTACTAGTTTGTAAGATTACTTACAATGAATAATGATAATAACAAATATAATTACAATGGCAATGATAATGGTAATGATAATGAGAGTGAACTTACCTATATAGATTTGGAAGAAGAGTTGAATGGAAATGTATTAAATGTAATTTCTAATGAACAGACTAAAATTACTAAACACAAACTAAAAAAGGTACCATTAAAAAAAAGTTGGGTGTGGAATTGGTTTGCAGAAATAAATTTACCTAGTGGTAAAAAAGGTTCAGAATGCCAAGTACCAATTACAACTGAAAAGACTTGTATGTAACAGATGGATCCGCAGGAAATTTAATTAAACGAATTTTGTTTTTAAAAAGAAATGCAAGTTGTGTTGAATGTATTCACCCACTGAATTAACTTTATAATAAATATAAATGAATTGTCATGAATTATTAGCATTACTACTCTTTTAGTAACATTTTATACTAATATTGCTGAATTATCCATTCAAACTGCAGATGATCCATACAATCTGGATGATCCGTTCAATTTCATGGATGATCTAGATAATCCATTTGAATCCAATGGATGTATTTTTTGAGCAATTAACGGATGATGGATTGATTTTTTGAGATAAATGACGGATGAACGGATAACGGATATCCGCAGATTGTATCTCTAGTTGCAGCATATGAAAATTGAATTGTGGTTAATTGTGGTTCCCATCTTTAATGACCACAGATAATGGTTCAAATATGGTTTTAGCAAGCTGGCTACTAAATGAGACATTTAGTAAATTACTAAGATTGAAATGTACAGACTATAAATTGCAATTGACAGTTAATATTACATTAAAACACAAGTAAAAGTTATAGAAAATTAGTAAAGTATTTTCAACTCCTAAACAACTTGAACAATTAGAAAAGTTCAACAAGATTTAAACAAAACAACTTATATGGAAAATGTGAATGAAAACGAAAATAAACCTTTATACCCTAGAATAATTAGAAATATAACCAAATTTAAGACAAGATGGAATTCTAAATATTGTGAGTATGTGTTCCGAGTTTCCTATTTGATAGGAATGTTCAACACACAGCTAGGTCTTACTTCGCCTACTGACTTATGGTCAATATTTCATTTATCTTACAATACACAGACTTGATAAAAGATCCCTAGGTTGTTTGGCTACTATATCCCAAAGACACCCCCTGAGATGTATCTCAATATTCAAAGTTATGGTTTCTTGCTGTACTCAGCAAAGGTTTCATTCTATCAGTATATTATTGAACAAGGGATTAATTAAGTCAAAGATCAAGTCTTATTTGGAGTAAATAGTATGTGTTTTATTTGTGATAATAATATTATTACAATGTTGTTAAAGTATTAGAATGGTGTTAATTACTAGATCAATAATTAAGAAATTGTTCTATTAACATGGTTATACATGCAGCCCAAAGTATTTGACACTGTCATAAATAAGGTTTCTGGCTGAAACTCTCTTTATTAGTAGCAGAAATTGCTGAAACACTTTTGGCAAAAATTACTTTTTTATAAGCCCAAACTATTTTTTGTTATTAGCCGAAATTGGGTGAAATTACTTTAAAGATGTATAAGTTAAAATAAGTTGACTGGTATAGTTTTTTAATGTTCATATTTATAAAAAATGCCAAGAAGCCCAAATTGTCCAAACTAGTTTGGGCTTTGAGAAAACAGTTTGGACCAGAAACCTTAGTTATAAAGGAGGTTACACTTATGTTTTTAATAGTGAGTGCCATAATTAATTTTTACTTTCTACCATCAAAATTGGAATATTTTTGACCATCAACATTACCAAACCAATTTGGAGTGTATGTATAAACATGGTGATTCTAACTTGGTCTAAACCAAGTCCTTTTATATCTCTTAGGTTATTACAAATAACATGACATTTACTCTATTTTGTCCAATAAAATATGCTTATTAATGTTGACTTCAGTACTTCTGTATTACTTGCTTACTAATTATCAATTATTAATACTAAGTAAATATTTAGGTCAACTGAGCAATACAAAAATTATGATTAATAATTCGAAATAAATATTTGTATCAGATGAATAAATGGGGCATGGACAATAGAAAGGGACCAAACGTCAAAAATCATGATTTTGAGAAAATCGGAAAAAAAGATCTACATT